ATAACCCATCGTCTCTTTTAGCTGAATTATTAGCAATTATATCCACTACTTTCGTCACACCTTCGCATTCAACTATCCATATTTTCACTGATTCTCTTTCTGTTATTAACATTTTCTACAAACTTCACTTCTTTCTCACCTCTTCTTCCTCACGCAACCCCATTTACAAATACCAACATTACCCTCTTTGGTTATATTTTTTTGAACTACTACATGCTAAAGACATCACTCTACATATGAACAAAGTTAAAGCACACGCTGATGACCCCTTCAATAATAGTGTAGATAAACTAGCAAAATCTGACAGTCCCACTTTATTCTTCAATTTCAACGCCTTCAACTCCACCATGATCCCATATTTTAATAACATGCCTATCCTCCTTCCAACACGCCAGTTTGTCAAAAGCCTATTACAAGCAAAACGCTTTAACGACGTCCTACTTTTACGGCATTTCACAAAATATCGTTCAATAAAGGTCGATTAGAATGTTACCTTCCAAGTACTGCATGATAACGAAGCTAAATCTGCTACTTCCTTTCGAGCCTCCTTTACCAAAAAACAGAAAATTAAATTCATTTTAGAAATGCTTCCGTCCTTAGAAGTGTTAAAAAAACGGAGCCCATCACTATACAAACAAAATTGGACATGCTGTAGATGTCAACTTGATTATGAAGATTTTAATCACATTTGGACTTGCCAACACTCCATAGAGACGGTTATCGAGCTTATCGCCTTCACAAAACACGATATTTTCCACCATTTGTCATTACTTAACAACGACTCCATTAACTCACAAAGTACAATTCATCAGATAATGACATCTTCCTTTTGGAATCCTGACCATATTGCAAATGACTTCTGTTTTATTGACCTCATCAAAGGCATAGTTCCGTTGGACTTGTCTAATTTAATACAAATCATTACAAATGACAATAATATTACCATGTCCCTTTTATCACACATCTACCATAACATTTTTACGTCAGTATCAAAAATCTGGGCCGATAGATGTGAAATTTTTGCCAAAGCTGAAAAGTTTGCTAACATCACTTTACAAAACAAAAAGAACAATTGGAACACTAGTGGTTTTTCTCACTCCTCACCTCCCTCCACACTTACTCCTTCATCCTTTATTTCTTCCTTTAGGTATGGTAACGACTGGTCAAATTTTTGGACAGGTAGCAACCACGCTCTACCCTCTGGATGGTTAAGTTTCCTTCTCTTTTGATTGGGTTATTAGTCTAGAATGGTGCAGGGTTGACTTTGATTTATTTTAACTAGTTTAAGATACTTAGAAGTTTTTGTATTCTCTTTTCTTGTCTTGTATTTTATTTATATTTTACTTACTTTAAATAAAGATTATGCGAAGCTACCGCACTTTAAAAAAAAAAAAAAGGTAAATTAATCTCAGAAGGTCATTTTCCTAGCTCACACCCCATATGTTAATTTTATTTCCTTCAATATATTTAGTTTATTTTATTTTATTAATTATCAACTATATAAATATCTTTATATTTTTATCAAATCTTAATACAAAGAAATGAAACTCATCAATTAATCTTTAAATTAATTGACTTAAGAATTGAGTAAGATTAATATCTCATTAAATGAGATTGATACTATATGATATCTTCAGATAAAACTTACTTTTATTATTATATTAATAAAGAGTATAATTAATTAAGTGAAAACTTATCTTTTGTAATCCTTTAACCTATTTATAAATTTATATTATTTATTAAATTTACATGATATTATATTGATTTGTTATATTAATTTAAAATATAGTCACTTAAATGTAATCTCTAAAATATTCAAAAGTTACTTGTGTTTAATTGATAATTATTTTTGATAAGTCTGTGAAGCCTTACTTATAATTTTTTAAGTTTAGTCTTAAAATTTATTTATTTTTAGATAAATCAGATGCAGTAATATATATTTATAGAAAAAATATATAATGCGTATATTTAAGAAAAATGTATTAAAAAGGTTTCACTGTAATAGGATATCAAATATCTTCAATATATGTTATCCTTTCAATGATTTTCCTTTCAAATTTAGAAGGAATTTTACTTACACTTTAAAGTTAATTTTATATATATTAAAATTTGTTATTAAAACTAATAATATTTTTATAATAAGATTTATAATATTTTTAAGTAAAATCAAAAAAAAAATTACATTAATTAGTAATTTTTTGTATTAATTTATTTTAAGATTAAAGATTTGAAATTTTTTTAATAAAAGTATTTTCTTTATAAAAGCTAAAATTTTTAATTTTTAATTATTTTTATATTATTAAAAATACTTTACAAATTATATGAATTTATATTTAAAACATTTATTTATATATTTAAATATTATTTATTTATAAAAAAATCATAAATTTAAAGTTAAAAATTTTGTATATATTTTATTTTAACTAAAAATTAAAAAAAATTGTAAGTTTTTATGTAGAATTTTGTATAATAATTGATTGAAAATCATGACTAAATTTGAATAAAAATCATTACTATTTAAGGGATAATATAATTAAATTTAAATTAACTCAATTTATTAAAACTCTTATTTTCATTTTTTACGATTATTTTAACAATTTCTGATTTAATTAAATGAATTTTTATTATTTGTAGAACTTATTGAAAGCTAAAAATAAAAAAAATAATTAAATTTAATATTAGTATATTGTAATAATCACAAAAAACTGAATTTTATCTTAAAAAGAAATAATTTGACAAAAATTATTTGTTATGATTCTTTTGTAAGATATCTAGGATTTTGATCTAATATTTTATTGGATTTATTCAATAAATCTACATTTATTAAATAAATTGATTATTAAGTTAATTTTAAATTTAGTAATATATAATTGCCTGACGAAACCTATTTTGGATTTATCGAAATATTTAAACCTCAAAGTTTCAACAGATTTTTAATAAATTCATAATATAATTTTAACTGTTTAATATAGCTTGATAGGTTTTGACGAGTTTTGCCAAGTTTTGACAGATTAGTTTATATGATTTTATTAAAGTTTTGATACTTTTAATATTCAACAGTCTGTTTAAACCCAAAAGTTTCATCAGGTAACTATAAAATAATATAATAGATTATAATCTTAGATCATATTATAACATTTAATTTATAAATAAATATATTATATTATTATAAATAAATTATATTTATTATAATAAGATTATAAATAATAGTTAGATTATGAAGTTATAATTAAATTATAAAATAGTGATAAGATTATATTTGTAATAATAAGATTATAAAATTATAATTATATTATAATTTAAAATTTTCTAAGCTAGCTTAGTTAATAAAAATTATTAAAATTTTGATTAGTTAAAACAAAATTAATTACAGTAATATATGGTTACATTCTTATTATAAAATTATAATTAAGTTATATTTATAATAAATGTTAAGAATTATAATTATAATTTAATATAAATCATTTATAATGCTATTTAAACTTATTTTAATGTATAGCATAAAAATTTATAAACTTTTTAAAACTTTTAAAATGATTTTTTTTAATTTGAAACTTGATTGAGTTTAGGAAACCTATTAAAAGTTTAGGTAAAAATATTTATTATAAACAACATAGTTTAATTTCAAATATCTTAAAATTCAAATTTCCTAAAATAATTTAGAAAAGCATCTTTATAAGTCATATATGATTTTACTAATTAATATTTAGGATCTGATTGGTTAGTATAATTAACTATATTATTTGTTACATACTATAGAAGGTAACAAATAAACATTATTATCTAATAAAATTCTAAGTCTCTCAAAAATTAAAACATTACTGATGTCATGCTAATAATTAATTACCTTTGTTCTAACTTAATCCTAACTCTAATTAATATCAATTATACCAGCCAGTCAGAATTTGAAGATTAATTTATTAAAATTATCATATATAATAGTATTTCATAAATAATTAATATAAAAATTATTTATTAAAAAATATAAAAAAATAAGTTGATATTTAGTGATCATAAAGAATAAAATTTAGCTTATTAAATTTATTTAATTAATATGTATTTAAGTAATGTATTTATATTTCTAGTATTAATATATTACAATTAAATAATTATATTATTTTTTATAATTTTTTATTTATTCTTAAAAAATTATTAATAAATAGTAATTTAATTTAATATTGAATTTATAAATTAAAATTTTAATTTTTCCAAATTATATTAATAAAGTTTTGTTTAACTCGGCATACCAAAACATTTTGATGAATTCCTTTCATCTCATTTTATTATATGATCTGCAAAAACCATTTTGCTTTAAGCCATAATCTGAAACTTCTAAGCGTTCTAAGAAGGTTCTCGATTCCTGGGTCATGCATGCTTCATGCTTTGAGAGTGAAAAAAGTAATAAGTAATAATTATTTCTTTGTTTGTTGTTAGATAAATAATATCAAAAACATTTATTTCGTAATTTTTATTGGTTTTCAATAAAAAAAACATGCGTTACACAAATGTTACCTATAATATGTATTAAAAAAAAAGTAATCATTTCGATTTTTTTTCTTCTCTTTAAATTAAATGCTATTTCTATCACTATTTTTCCAACATACAATTTCTAAAAGATCGCAAAAGATACTTTCTGTTAGAAACAAAATACTATTTCCTTGTATATGACAAATAAGTATAAAGTGTATGATATTACATGAAATATATCAGACTTGTACCTTTATGTCTTGATATGTAAAACTAAAAAAAAAAATCCAACAGAAGTAATAAAAATTTAATACTGTTTTTTTTTTTTTTTTAGTTATAATTAATTTTCGTTCATACTTTTGGACTAAACTAGTTTTAGTGTCCTTACCTCCCTTTAATTCCCCTAATTTCCTTTTTTCAAAATTTTCACCACGGAAAAAACAAAGAAACTTTGGGGAAGTTATAGTAGGAGATTTTCTAAGCATCATCAGAAACAAACGATTCCTTTTCGTAGTCCATCTGTGCATCATCTAATGTCAACCTCCGTTACAGTTCATCATGATAAAATTCAAGTATCATGTAATGTTGATGTTGCTCAGCCTATAGAGAAAGTTATTAAGGCTTTATGTATTGAACAATTTAATATACAAGAACCTGCTGTGCTCTTTGCTCTTAGGCTGTTGGATACTGAGGAATTGATTACTGATGAGGTAATTTAAAAAATTTTAATTATTTTCACAAAGAAACAAATTATGTAATCTTTTATTTTTATTGATATGATTAGAATCTCCGACGAAAAGTGAAACCAAATGAAAGATTAAAATTGGTTTCATCGCCGTTAATCGAAGCGGCTGAAATTTGTGAAAAATTGGGATCAAATGATGATAAAACCCTAAAGCTAACCACTTTCTCCCTTCAAAAGTATGTCAAGGTGAGTTAATTTTTTTTTTTAAAAAAAAGATATACATATCAATAAACTTTTAAATTTAATTTTCTAGGAAGTAGAATTCGCTGATGAGTTTTTAAAACGAAGTGGATTAAACTCCCTTGTTGAGATAATAAATAATTCCAGTGGTAACACTCTCGCTTATGCATTGACATCAATGCAAAACCTTATGGAGCATGATCATGGGTGGGAAGATCTGGGATCTGATTTTATAAATAAGGTAAGGAACGTAAAAACGATAATTTTCTCTATAATAATAGTTAACATAATTCTTTTCCTTTTATTTTTTTTTTTAGGTGATAAAGATTTTAGTGGAAAAAACGTTGGTGAATATTTGTAGACCTGCCACAGCTATAATTATTAAATTAGCTATAGCGGATAAAAATTCCATATCGATAAAGTCATACGGCTTTGATGTATTACATGATGCAATGATAAAGCAGCCGAATTTCTTACCAACTTTGGTTCAACGTCTTGCATCAGCGGATTATGTCTTATGTTCGAATAGCTTATGTTTGATAAATGCTTTGATGAGACACGTTACAGATCATCACTGGGAGTTTTTTATGGATATGATGGACAAGTTAAATGTCAGAAAAGCTGTGGCAGTATGTATAAAGATAAAAGATTTTTATTTGGTTAATTTGACCAATTTTAACTTTGTTGAATTCTCGTAGTTATTAATGAACGGAATACATGGGGATGAATTATCGAAGCAATTACTAGAATTTCAGTCTCTCTTTGTACGACAAGCATATAGATGGAAGAGAACACAGGTCTCATTGCATATTCCATCACATAAAGCAATGTTGGAAGAATTATGGACAAAAGCAAATTTATCCGAGGAAGGTGGTAAATGGAAGAAAATTGGATTTACCACTGAAGCACCAAAATGGGAAATACAACGAGTTGGATACCTAGGGCTTGAAAATATGCATGGATTTATGAGAAAAGATGTTGAATATTATCAAAAGGTAAAATTAAATTATATATATATATTATTTTTTTTGAAAAAAATTTAACTTTAAGATTGTTTAGACAATCTTGGAACAACATAATCGACCAATAGAGCGACGATGTCCGTTTTCAAAGACATCAATTGAGGTTACAGAGCTTTTATGTGATTATTGGGATGTTAGTACTGGATGTAGGTTGAGGTTAACGCGTATACATATTATAATAATATCATATTTTCTCATAATTATTTTTTCTTCGTGTTTTAGATACAACATCAACCTCGTTCCAACCTTTATTGCTGGCATTTGAAAAGATCCATTACATCACAGTTAAAGCATATTTTAGACTATGGAATGATATGGAAGCAACTGTTGATGATTTTCCTAAAGTGTCGGCTTTAGTAAGAAGTCAACTGAAATTTGCATTGAGAGACGAGTCAACTAAGCAATTATATGAATTTGAAAAGGATATGTTGGACGTGGAATATAAAATTATTAGAGATAGACAATTGAAGGAATTAGAGTTAGGCGATGATTTATTAAGTAAAACTCCAGTAAGGTAATATTAATTTTAAAAAGCTATCGAATATATGTATATATATTTTTTTTAAAAAAATTAAAAAATTTTTTTTTTTTAGGAATTTACGTGGTAAATTATATACAGAATCATATGAATTTGTAAAGAATCAGCGTATCAAGTGTTTATTATTAGGAGATTGGTTTCAAGTTATTACGTCAGCAAATATTCCATCCAATGCAACAGCAAATCTCGGAAAAAGAACTTTAATAAATAAAAAGTGGAGGTTTTATAGATTAAGTCCAAATAAAAAGTTTTTACATTATAGTGATTTTTCAGAGAAAACATTTGTTAGAGATGGTATTGAAGACCTTCTTGAAAGAAGTAAGCGATTAAATTTAATATCTTGAAAAAAATTTTTTTCTTTTTTTAAAAAAAAATTATATTTCTAATAATAAATTTTCCGATGCTAGTTGACTTAACATTAGTGACAGATATAATGACAGGGCATTCAACACAAGCAACGGTCACAGCAGGTTCACCACCTAGATTAAATAAAACCATGTCAACAAACGTTATAAGTTTGTCTTCACAAGATTTATCATTTTCATTAATGTCAGGGCCAGATACGATATTAGCGGATTTTATAGCAACGGATCACTTACAATATTCAGAATGGACGGATGGTTTCAACATGTTGTTTGATAAAAATATTGGTAGTAAAGATACAGCTGAATTTATACATGTATTAACAGAAATTGGTGTTAAAGTTAAATTATTGGATTTAAGTGGTGAAAAAGTTGAAATCCCACAAAATATTGAAGTACCAAGTGATTTACCAATTATTGGAACTGGTGGTAATGGATTTTATTATGATGATCCTTTTTCTTAAAACAAAAAATGAAAAATGAAAATGAAAAAAAGGAAAAATTAGAGTAATCTTAATTTTATCTGAACAATTGTATTCTTTTTCTTTCAAAAATTTTTATTAATTAATTGTAATAGTACATACAAATATATATATATATATCTCATTTTTTTAAGAAAATAGTAATTAGATAATATTACTAAAGTTATAATTAAATAAACTAGACTCGCGTTTCACATCACATGCTAATACTGCGCCTCTCCAGATACTATATAAAAAATTATTTACGCGACGCACAATCAATTTTTATACTTTCTTACTCAAGTATTTCGTCACAAAAAGCCAAGTCAAAGAGTATATTAAGAGTCTATCTACGATGTATATATACCCTCAAAAACTCTCTAAAACACACTGCTTCTTTTGTATTCGAACATTAATCACTATGTATGGTAAGTTCTATCTCTTACTTG